AGTAAATGAAGATTTCATGGCAGTAGTATGCATGTTACTCAGCTAGCACATTAGGGGTACAGCACAACTCCGGAATTCTGCAAAACTCCCCCCTCCTCCCCCCTTTCGTTACGTACGGCACCGGTTCCTTGCACGATACGCACGCACACTGCGCACCAAGCCACCAGAAATTCACCACCCCCATTTCCTGCACGGGCAACGTTGCGCGATTTCTCTGGCACGTCGCCAACTGCTTCTTGTCTCTGGCGATACGAAATAGTGTTGCCATAAATGGCAGATGCCTCATTGGGGCGCAAAACGCACCGGCCGAGCCGAGCCGAGTTTTAGTAGCTGCCGAAGATCCGGCATCAATAAGGGATATCTTCACCTATAAAGCTGATGCATAGGTGAAGAAAGCTGAAAGCGAATAAAGTGAAGCTGATGCTTAGGCCTAGGCACCAGCGTGTCTGATTCTTCAGCCTTACCTGAGCACCATCATCACAAATACGGAAGCTTTACCTAAGCATCAGCTTCATAAATGGGAAAGTCCTTTGCTGATAACGGGTTTTTCGCTTGCTTAAAGCTCCTGTACTTCTGAAGTTGATGCTTGGGCAAATCTTCCGTACTTATGAAGCTGATACTTAGGTAAAGCTGAGAGCTCTGAGCTTTACTTAAGCATCAGCTTTACAAAAGGGATGCCCTCTATTGATGGCGGAGCTTTTTTTGCTTTTACTTTTTTTCTTGCTTGTACTTTTTTCCTGCTTTCCCCCTTTCCAGTGGTCATCCCCTCTTCTCTCCCTTACGTTGCTTAGGCAACAGCCAAAAGATCTACGTCGCGTAGCCATTCAATGTACCCACCCAATTCACTCCCTCTGTCTCGAATCCCTGCGCGCGAAAGCCGCACACACCGCTCCTTCCCTTCATCCCTGTCACAATCCCCCTCCCGCGCGTATCGAATCCAACGCAGTACTTATACACTGCCAACCCTCTTCCTCCTCTTCCCCTCCCCCCGCCCTTCCCCCACCTCTTCTGCAGCACACGTCGCTTCCGAGCCCTTCTCATACTCCGCGCATCCGCGCCAAAACCTACAACATGGGTCCTATTTCCTTCTGCCCATCATCCCCTCTCCCCTCTCCCCTACATGGCCACTTGACGTTCCTCCCGTCCACCCCTTCTCCCCCGCCTCCGACTTCGCGGCCATCACCCCTACACAATAGCCTCCCCTATCTCCGTCCCTCCGTCCCCCTTTTCACCTCCCGTGCCCCCTTCCCTCCCTGCCCCCTCCCTCTCTCTCTCTCATTGCTCCCCTTCTACACGATCGCGAGTCAATTCGCAAATCGTGCAGCTGCCGAGGTGAGCCGAGGCCGGCCGGGGTGAGCCGGATGAGCCGAGGCGAGTTATAGCAGTTGTCCTCAAAAGACTAGGTGAAAATCTCTTGTGTTATCGTTTACTGCCAAGGAAAGCGAAGAAGCGCAACTGTTACTAAGATCGTAAAAATATACCAAAAATGAGTGTCCATTATAAGATTTTGAAGATATCCAAAACCCCTTTCTAACCCATCCCTCAAATCCGATTAGAACTAGCTGTACTGCCTTCTGTTAGAAACTATACCGCCTAAAGCACGGGGACAAAAAATAACTGAGGCTGGAATGCACCAGGCTTGCTGGTGCGATCATGCGTTTTCGCACCAAACTCACGGTCGCTATCAGCAGGGATGATTCCTGCGCTGCAGCCTAACAGCTGGGCTCACATTGGCGTGCTCTGGTTTCTTCCGGCATGCAGCAGAATGGGCATCGGTTGGGTTAAGAGTGTTACATTATAGAGCCGCATGGAACTTCAGGTGCATTATTACCGGTTATTTTTTCGCTAAATGCTTGCTTCTTGAGAAAATGAACCCAGGCTGGGACACATCGGGCGGGCCTGTGCGATCATGCGTTTTGCACCGGACTTTAATTACTCAGGTCATTAACTTTATGAATGGCTGTTGCTTTACACCTACCTTTTGCGGTCACTAGCATAAATCAGCATAAATTTTGTAAAGTAATGTATAATTTTCATTTAGCAAATGTTCTTTAAAAGTACCTAGTTGTTCAGTGAGAAATTTTTTCGTCAAGATTTTTAAGTGCCAGTACGTAAGAACCACGCATACCTCAAGGTTGAATTTGAAATACTTAAGTTGTACTTGGACAGAGAATTTCCCTTAAAACTTCAACTTTCTAGCTTTTTTGATTCTTGAATTAAAATTTTCCCGCACAAACTTTCTTACGCCTTTACGTGAGTACCACGCATAGCTTGGGGCTGAATTTGAAATATTTCTGTTGTACTTGGAGAGGGAGCATTCCTCCAAAATTTCAGCTTTCCAGCTTTTCTAGTTACTGAGTTAGCAATTTTCCCGCCAAAACCTTCACATACCCGTACTTGGG